GCTGAACCTCCTGGCTCTACTTTGATTTGAGGAATTAAGTTGCTGTAAAAATATATAAGGGCAATTACATGAGCATCTCTACTGCTAGTGCAGCTTCTAAAGCAAGTTTTGATGGACTATATCTCTTGGTATGGATCTGAAAATTGAGTTGGCTTAATTCTGTCAGGGAATGGGAATCTCAACCTTATTATCCTGTGTCTGCTTTTGTTCTGGAGGGCAGGGAGATGGAAGGAACTAGAAACCCAAGATAAAGCATAGCCTAGGGATGACTGCTTTGAGGGATCAACAGTGTTCTGACTCATATCAAATGTCCATATACCTACTTTTTGCCTGTTAGAATAATGATTATTTTTTTGTTTCTTAAAGTTCTTTGTAAAACAAGACACTTTACCAATACCTGGGCTATTATAAGATACCACTGAGACAGACTACTTTAAAGTTCATCTAGGGGAATAATCATTTTTAGTTTTTTAAATGTTAGTTGCTCAGCGTTTTTTTTTTGTAGGGAGCCTTGGAGTGGTTGAATTCAAGGTATGTTTGTAATTTTTATAGGCTAAGTAAGGTTCTCAAGCAGGTGTAAATTGGTGTGACTTAAAGGAAGTCAACAAAGTACAGTAAGTAAAAGTTAATTTGGTCCTGATTCCAGTATACTAACTATAGTTACCTCCATGCACGTGCAGAATTGCTGAGGAAAACACCGATGACTGTTTTCTTTCTTTTCTAGTTTGTCTTGTAATGAATGAAAGCTCAATATCTAAAATGATTTTGAGAATGCCAAGAACTATGAAATACAAGTGGTGGTTGCTTAACAGTACAATGATGCTGCTTTTTGCAGCAGTGTCTTGCTGAGAGCTAGACTGCAACTTGGATGACAGCACATATGACAGGCGCCAGAGAGTGTCTGGGTGCTATTGTAGCATATACAACTGTAGTTCAGTCAGGGTACCACTGAAGCTAATTCTTCGATGATGTATTTATTGTTGTGTTAGTAATAGAAACTATTAAAGCACGTATCTTATAGTCACAGTCACCTTGTCAAATCTGTGCTGGGCCTGTGTTCTGGCAGAAGTGAAGCAGACTTGCAGTGTGGCCATATGCTGTGGTAATGCTGGTGTACAGTAGTTGCGTGAGCCTTGCATGTAACCATATGGGGAAGTTTTCCTGTATTTGAACTATTATGTAGCACTCCTTGGCAAATACATTTAAATTTGCAGGGGGCTAGTAGGTACCTATCATGCTTGGATTTCATAGGAACAGTGCAGGGAGTCAAACCCATAGCTTTCTAGATAAAGCTACGCAGGTCCACACTGGAAAGATGAGAGAAGGTAGGTTGAAGGCAGAGGGAACTGGATAGACGATACGGGGTGAAAAGCCCTCTATTACCTCCAGTATGCAATAAATATTTTGGTCAGTCTGGGAATTAAAAGTAAAAGAAAAATCTTGAACCGTTGGGGCAAGTAAAGGGTTTAATTTGTGAGACCAGCAGGCAAGATAGTGTACTGGCTTTATGGAAAAATCTGGAGCACAAACATCTATATGTAAAGAATGGTCCTCAGAGAAGACCATCCCCTGCATAGATAAATATCAAAGTATTTTTTATTATTTAGGGTTTTTTTCTGACACACTTTTTAAACAAGTCCTTTGCTTTATAGATGCTGTTATTACTTTGGAAGAAGATAAAGCCGTTCAGTATTTGAGCCCAAGGCAGTTCTGCAAAATTGATTAGGATATGCATGAGGCTCTGCTACTCTTACGGTTGCAGAGCAGTTCTGACAAAGGTGTATCACCTTGAAGTCAAAAGTATAAGGGGAAACCCAGAGTTTGGGATGTATTCAGCCTGGTGTCTGGACTGTTTTAATTGCATATCTAACTGGAGACTGAGTTGCATTTGTGCTTAGGTCTCATAAAAAAAAAATTGTGTTACAGGTTACAATGCCTTACAAAATAATGCCTTACAGGTACGGAAAATAGGATTCTCTCAAGTTGATACTTACGATTATCATAACAGATACGGCCAATAGCCCTCCCAGCATGAAGCAACGTTTCTTGGTCTGTGCTGTCCAGCAAAGGTATCAAAGTTAGAACCAAATCTGCTTCAATACATGGCTTCTTCATTTCCTCTGTGTAGGTAAGGGAGAGGGACTTGTGGGTTTTTGCCATGTTGAAATAAAATAATTGTAACTGCAAGACTAATAGCTGGTAGCCATGAAACAAAGCTCGAGAGTGGAAACATACAGCTAATGTGCTGTAATATGCCTCGTAGTAACACTTTAGTACAACATACCATTCTTGACTATCTCTGAAAGCACCTGGGCTGCTTTTACTGCACACCGTGGATTGCCCTTCAGGATTTTTGCCAAAGTTATGAAGATCCCACTCTCTCCGAGTAGGCTGTAGGATCTCTGCTCTGTAATGATAAGAATGTTAGCAGTGCCTGCAGTAGGTTTGCAACTTTTATTTACATGCTGCTTTGTTTCCTAGAGTTCTGAGTGGATATCTTTGGGATGCAAGGTTCTGATTTAACAAGGTACTTAAAGGTCTCTGTCTAAAAAGGCTCAGTCTAAATATATGGGAATAGTCATCTACTTGAATTGCAGCAAGTGTAGTTCCAGCTGATTATTCTGCTTCATGCTGAATTGAAGCACAGCTGGCAAAGCAAAGAGGAAAGCAGTTTCATCTTCTCTGGCTGTAAAAGGATGTTTGCATAAGGCATGGGAAATCAGGGATTAAGATTCTATTCCTGAGGTATGGCCTAGCAATTAATTTTGTAGGTAGGCACAGCATCTTTTATTAGACTAGCAATTAGAACAGTCAATTCCCTTAGCCTTTTTTCATCAAAAATATGTATAATTTTCCTTAAGGTAGTCAAATCGCCATCTGCTAGGGATTTAAATAAATGCAGGTTTATGTCATTTCAGGAGAATGTGCAGAGACCTTAAAGACTTTCTTATAAGGAGGCTAGGAACTACTTTTTAAAATCTTGACCTGAGAGGGTCACCTCAATTTAATCCTAGGAGTTTGTAATAAGTAAAATATTAAATTTGGAATTTGTCTGCAGCTGCAGGTGTTTTAGTGGCCAGTAGCTTTATCTGGTCACAGGTACATTTGCAAGTGTACAATGAGGAAGGAAAACAACAAAACAGGCTGAGGACAGCTGTAGTTCCAGCAGCAATTGCTTTGTGTAATACAGGTTATCACAGGAGACTAAAACCTGCAGTGAATGCCTTTGGATTGTGCAAATGGTTAAAGAGTGATTTGGAGTGATACTTAGCTATCTTCAGTAAGAGCCAGGAGAATCCCATTCAGACTTTCAAGGATCTGATCTTCAGCTTCTGTGTCATCTCCACAGAGCCCAAGGTACTCCAGGTGCTGACTCAGGGTTTCTAAACAGAATGGGATGGAAAACTGTGGTAAGCCGGTATGGAAAATATTTTGAGTTCTTTCTGGTATTTCTTTTCAGTGGCAATGGCTGACCATAAGATCATCTCCTGAAGGGTCCAGATCTAAATATGCTCATATTAACTCATTTAATCCAAGAGCATGAGGGTAAAGGTTTGGCCTATTTCTCAGACAGCACGTAGCTCTTGTGCAGGTATAAATATGCAGAGATGAATCCTATCTGGAAAAAGAAATTAACATATAATAACTGTGGCAGAGTTTGAGGTAGGGAGAAGAATAATCAGAGAATCCAAATCAAGCCTGTCATTTCTAAATACCTCTTTATGATAAAGATGTTACTTGCAGTTCAACTAGCTGTATATCTACTCTGATAGTTGCCAGTAGCAGGCACTGAAAGAATACAAGAATGAAACAGGTATGGTAATACACTTCTCTTACTTTCTGGTAACCTTGGCCTTTACAAACATACCTTGTATTTACATCAATGTATTTAATACATTTTTTGATGGACTTTTATTCCATGAATTTGTTTAGTTACCTATTTAAGATAATTCATACTTTTTATCTCCACACCACATTGTGACATTAAATTCCACAGTTTCACTGTTGTAAGAGGAAGATACTTCCCTTTGTTTTAAAATATCTATCGAAAAGCTCAAAGCTAATGGCCTTTGGGTTTCTGTAGTAAGAGAAAGGCATGACCCTTTGCTATTTGCTTTTCCCATGCTTGTCATGACTAGGTGGATTTTTATTATATGCCTGCTTTAATTCTTCTGCCAGTTCATTTAATATTTCCTCTATGGAAGCTTTGATAACTTACCTCAATCTTTTTGCAGCTTACTTTTTCTTTCTTCTTAGGTGAGGAGCTAGACTTCAAAAGTGTTTTCAAGATACAGCTAGACTGGGGTTAAGACAAAGATTGTAATGCTTTGTTTTCTTTCTAGTGTTTTAATCCTTTGTCTATTGGAGAATGTGTCTTGTGCAGGTATTCAAAAGGACTTGATCTTTTCAGGGCAGAGGGTGTTGATTTATACTCCACCATTATTCATAATTAGGCCATCTTTTCCCCATATATGTTGTTCTGCATTTATGGACACTGAACTTGATGTGCCTCTTTATCCCAAGTCATACAGGATAGCAGGACTTTTCTGCAACTCTCTACAATCGGTTTTAATTTTGAGTACTCCAAATAATCCAAAACCTCTTTACTATTCCACTGTTTCTAGATAATTTATGAATATATCGAATAATATGGGTTCCAGCAAAGGTAACCTGTAATAATTATGGCTCTCTTCTGAAAGCAGTCTTATTCTGCCCTTCAGTCTTCATCAGATAACCTTCTCTCATATCCCAAGATAGCTTAGGTGATAAACCTTATTGAAAGACTTGTAGAAATCGAAATGCATTGTTAACAGTATCTCTTTTATTCATCTTCTGCCAACTCCTTAAAAATATGTTTAAAGAGAGGGAGGTTGAGCATTACTTGCCTCCACAGAAGTCATATAGACTCCTTCCTCTTTTATTGTATCTTTAAATAATTCTGTGCTTTACTGCAATCCTACAATTTACCTGTACAGAGATCAGATTTCTGTACTTTAATACCCTTCATTCCTTGCAACTGATTTTTGTAAACTCATGCCACTCTTCCTGCTTCCCACCCTATTAATCCTGTAGTTGTTTTCAATGGCATTCTGCATGTCACAGTTAATGATTTGATGATTCATTTTTTTAATTCCTTATAAACTCTGGGGAATAATATTGAGTCCTGACAATTGGTTACCATTTATTTCATTGATTTGTTCTAAATCAATCTTCCACCCTTTCAATCTGAAGGGTCTTCCATCTACTTTCTGCAAGCAAAAAGACCTAAAGCAGTTGAAATTAATGTAAGAAATAATGCTGGAAAACTGATGGCTGTAGTAGTTAACTTACAGTAGAATATAATGTAAGGTGTTACCAAAACTGTAGTAAAATAACATTTTTACTTCACAAGCTGTTTCGTTGAAAAAGATGAGTCATGAGTCTTGGCCTAGAAATTCTTCAGCTGAGGGTTAATAATTCATCATTTATTTTTGTTGTTTGATGGGTTCACTAGTTTCTCTTTTCTTAATGTGTCCATTAGTTGATGTGAGATTATTATTTTTTTAAAATTAGAATGCATGAATTTAGTGCATACAGGAATTTACTTCAGAGGAACCAGAAGTGTCTTGAGCTGTTTTGAAGAGAGGATGAACTAAAGGATGGGAGGCAGGACATAAAGGCTATTATTGTCCTTTGAGCAGAAAAATTCTTTGGCTTAAAAAATTAAAAGCAGTTATTTAGGAACAATGACAATTCTTTTTTGTGCTTTAAACAGGATGCCATCTTTAGAAAAATGGCTGGATTCATCAGGTTAAAAATCTATTTGGGGAAACGTCAATATTTTTCATTCTGACTGAGAAACTGAGGTTGTATGTATTGATGTCCCTTGGAAAGGCTTTGTAGTTGAAAGTAACTGTGTTTGTCTTTGTGGCCTCTTCAGAAACATGTGCTAAGGGCAGCACAGGCATAAAATTGATAAGAGATCAATGTTTCTAAGAAAAACAGATGACTTTGGATTTGTTGCCTTTTTTATTAATGAAAACAGGCTGAAACCTCATGGAACAGATAGATGTACAACAAGGATGATTTCCTTTGATTGGTTTAAAAAAAATTAATAATCACTTGTTTCCATTTCTGTCCAGTTCTCCTGCCACAGCCTGCTGAATAAATGATTCTGTCTGCATGAAGTACAGGTAGAATGCAATTTTCTTACAAAACAAAACAATCACCTGAGCGACCTGACAGTTAAAGCAGCTTTGATCTTATACTAGAGCTAGTGGGAGTCGGCAGAAGTCTACAACTGCTGCTAGGGCAACATGAAATAAATTAGGAGCTGGTGGGAATGAATTATCTACTGAACTCTGACTTCATCCTTATCAAGACCCAAAATATGTTGGCATGAGGTAATGCATTTATCTTCTAGTGCCCTATCCCCTAATTAGAGCAACTGTGGTATTTGCAACTGCATTTCTAATACAGTTAAGATATATAGAAAGATGAAAAGGCAACCGGATCTCTTAAGTGGGAGGAGGTTATTTTACAAATAGCAGGGAACAGTCTGCATTGCTGGTCACTCATGAGGTTGGTATAGTGGTAATTAGGGTTGGTATAGTGGTAATTAGAAATCCAGGTGCTTTGTTAGTTCTCCAGGGAATAGATCGGTAGAATAACACCATATGCATGATGACAAAGTCCTTGTAAAATATCCCTCTGGTTACAGTCTGTAGTGTTGTGAAGTTAGTACTATAAGCAGCAGCATTGACCAAGTAAGCTGACTAAAGAGCTATTTTTATAAAAGTCTTGCAGAAGGCAGTATTTAACTGTAGCAGTTTTAAAATACTGAACCCTGTTCTCAGGTATTAAGAATTTTATCATGTTTTATGTTATTTATAAAAACTTGATTAATTTGACCGACATGGGACCTATTCTTCAGTACTCATTGCCGTTAAGTCCATGCTTCTGAAGTGGAATTGAAGCAGGCACTGTAAGACAGTTATTTTTGTGGAGAGGCAATAACAACAGCACACATATGGATTGTGACTAGAATTGGCCAGAAGAGGGTATTTCTGTTTTGTGGGAAATTCTGCGTTGTTGACATTTTGTTTCATCCCATGCCGGAACAGAACGTTGATGTGGTGGAACTTCAGGCAAAACAAAACAATTTTGTTTCAGGTTTTTTTTTGCAAATGTGCTTCTTCCCCAGCCAGGGGCTGCCTGGCACGCTGGCCTGCTGCCTGGCCGGCTGGCAGGCAGGCTGGAAAGAAGCCAGCCAGGCTAGCCAGCTGGTCGGGCAGCGGGGAGTGCCTCCCTGCCTGGCTTCTGAGGAGGGGTTTAGCAGAATAAATGTGTTCTCAAGGAATATTTTTTTTTTGTCCTCTTGCATCAGCATTTTTGTATCAGAATCTTGCTGGTCAGCTTTAGTAATTCACTGTAGAAGAGGGGGAAATGGACTCAGGCTCTGGTCTGGAAAGCTCTAATTTTACTTTCGCAGTGATTACTTGCAGGGTCTGAATTTAGAAATCTCTGGAGGTTGGATTACAAAAAGCTTTTTTCCTGAGCTGAAGGGCTAGATTATTAATTCACACATAAATCTGTGCATAAGCTACTGAGTAGAGGCATAAGAACCAGACATTTGCTGTGGGAGCTTGTTTTTGATCATCCTAATGAAAGCAGAAACAATAATGCAGAAAACACGCCGTACCACAGAGGTTTCATCTGGCCTTTGCGGTGGGGAAAGATTCATGAGGTGTGAGCTGTTTGGATCCCTTGGACCATTGCTGTATCAATTCCCAGCGCAAGTTTTGACCTATAAAGTCCTTGGGGAGTGAGAAAGAAGGAATCCCACACATCTCTATTTTTCAGTGACTGATTATGCCCCCCTGAAAAAGGCAATGCCTTATCTGATTTTTTTCCCCCCCCCTCATTTTATAGCCTTTCACATGTGTGGGAGCTGTTCTCTATTTTTTTTTTTCTAGAGGAAATATAGACAGTATTTTGCAATATTAAATGTTATATTTGGTATCATTTATTACTGTTTGGCTCCTAAGCAGTGTGAAGTCGGTATGATCCAATTTGAGGGCGTAAAACAACTTACTCCGGTTGAATGCCTTGCCTTGTGTGTCTCCTTTACTGCTGCCTCTTCCTTTGGTAATTTCACATACTAAACTTACTCTTCTGCCACTTACCTTTAGTATACTTCAGAAGATTCTTCCATGGAGGAGGAGGATGATGATTATTATTAAAAGCTGGAAGACAAGTTAATGTGTTTTTCCAGAACATAAATATGTGGTAACTTCTTACAATAGAGGTCCGTTTTTAGCCCAGTGTAATGTCTCTGGTAATAGATGATCAAAGAACAGTAAAAGACAGTACGTATCCTTTCCCTGGTATATTTTCTCAACTGTTAGTAATCAACTCCTTAAGGATTTTCTTTGCTGGAAGTTTTGTTTAATAGCACTTAAATTCATAAAAGTATTTATTTTGAACTTGTTTGTAACTTAGCTTCCAGAACGTAGACTGGTGATGAGTTCCACAATGTAATTTTGGATTCAGAGAGAGAATAACTCATTCTTGTTTTCTCTTGTTGAAATGATCATCTGGTCTCCTTTTGGCTCTGATTTTCTGAAAAATCTACTGTATCACCAGGGCAGGGAACACAAGTCTCTATTATAAACATACCCTGTGTAACAGTTGAGGGATAAGAGTCCATGTTGATAAACTGCTAGAGTTCTGCAGTTCAAGGTTAGCTGGAAGGTGTAAGAAGCGGTCTGAAGAAACTAAAATTTCAAGTCATAATACTGGGAAATAGCTGCTGGGTCTGTCTAGCAATTTATTAATTAAAAAAATGGGAAGTTGACCTGCATTCTTACTTGTGTGGCTGCCTGCAAAATCATGTAGCTGTAAGCCTCCTTTTTTGTCACAGTATTTTTTTAATGCTCTTCCCTCAAATAAAAATAATGCCTGGTCTGTGGCATCTCCCATATAACCCTATGGTAACAAATGTGCCTGCATACCAAGTAGAAAAATTGAGGGCAGTAGTAATAGAAGTAAGGCTCCAGGTCTCCTCGTCTAGGAATGTGGTATTATATTTACTTCATAATGAAATGTAAAAAAGGTGTGAATTGGAGGTAGAGAAATCTAGAAGGGCTGGTAAGTGTTAAGAGCAAATAAAGCTT